TTTAGTACATCAGGTTAAACTAAATGAAAATGAGAATTTTTGCTTTGGCAACTAGCTGAAATAATGTTATAATACATTTTATTTATATATATATATATATATAGAGAGAGAGAGCGAGAGAGAGATAGATATAATTTCAGTAAGCAGTTATAGTATTTGTATGTAACATTTTTATGCAGATACAATATACATTAGGGATGCACGATATATCGGCCACCATATCGGTATCGGCCGATAAATGCTATTTTTTTCTGTTATCGGTATCGGCCCAATAAGAAAATTTGGCCGATATCTTAAAGCCGATAAATAATGCATTATTTCCTTCAGAGACACTTCAGATGCGCGCTGTTCGTTTGCAGCCTTTTGTGCAATTGTACGTTGTAATATTGTGTTTATTTGATGTATATCTGATTTATCTCATATAGAATGCGTTTGGTTAAGTTAAAAGAGCGCTTCAGTTTACCGGTGATCGTCTTTAGCTCAGCGCACGCAGCTCAAACAGCAGTGCACAACATTAATAACTATGATTGGGAATGTTGTGTATATAACATTCTAATGAGCACATTATTATAATAAAACGTTGTGCATTCTTTGGGTTTAGTTGCTGTGTTTCAGCGCGTTGTTATGGGAAGAGCGCATCCACAACGGGATCACACATTCTGACTATAGCATGCAATAACTGCGTCATTTTGTACATATATAAGTTGTAATATTATGTTTATGTTGTATTAATATTAATCTCAGGATGCATTTCCTTGATTTAAATAAGCTGCCAGCAAAACGCTTCAGTTTACCATGTTCATTCAGCTCTTCAGCTTCAGCACGCGCAGCTCAAACGGCTGCTGTTTAAAACAGTGGTATTCATTTGTTACTTTTTCAAAATTAATATTATGTTATTAATAATAACAACCACTTGTATTTTTCTATTATTATTTTCATCAACAATATGGTTTAGTAATTAAAATCATTTAATTATTGTCCGTGCAGAGGCTATTCCGTTTTATTGATCTATGGCGCATTCATTTTGATTCTTTACACGTGTAATGATGTCCAGTGACTTGTTTGCATTATTTATGCATTATTTTATTTGTAAGACTTTTTTATGACTAAATTTGGTAATGGGAGAGTAAAATTATTTTTAAAACATACACCGTTCAAACTAGGCTGCTTATGTTGAAGTGTTCGGGATGTGGTTTTTAATGATGAGACCTTTTTTGTAATCAGGCTCTCAAAAAGTATATAACAATTTGGATATAGATTTATCGGCCAACATATCGGTTATCGGCTTTCAAAAATAAAGGATTATCGGTATCGGCCAAAATTTTCATATCGGTGCATCCCTACTATACATATGTTTACCTTTACAGCTGTACCACCTTTCTGAGCCTTCTCCTTCTTATCACTGTCCCCACTGCCTGAAGCAGCAGCCCCTGTCCAAATACAAATGTATATTAGTATCTTAAAAGTACAACTATGCAACTAAGATAATACCTATGCATCTGCATGTGCACTTGCTCTATTAAGCATTTTGAAATAACCATATTAAGCGAATCCCACATTTGGCCACATTCCTCACGCAATTCATACTTTGACACATTTAGTAAAGATCCAATAGCCTGAAATGTTTCATTAACACTAGATTATACAAAAAAAAATCAACAGAAATACAGCAGAGTGTAACAATGTTTACAATCTGTAAGCCATAAACACTACCAGATAGCTAGCATGTCAGCATAAATATTAGTGCAGCAATCAAATTATATGCTATAAATGTCGATATGGTGTCATTTGTTAGATTTTGTTCATGAAGCATCATATATTTGTTGTTTACCTTTAGCGCCTTTGCCACCCTTTCCTTTCGGTGGCATCTCCTCGTGTCGGATTAACGTTACACCTCAGCTAGCACAGAAGAGCTAGTCACAGATTCCCACGCGGTTAGACTGAAAACTACACAGCAGCTTTTTTTTAGCCTACAGTTTTTATTTATTTCTTTATGGTGATGACCAATAGATGGGTTCATATGTTTTCTTTTAAAAAATAAAACAGATTATAATAGTAGAATTGTCAATGACATTTCTGCGCAAATGTGCCCAGCAATCAGTGTTGCCAATTTAGCAATTTTGTTGCTAAATTTAGCAACT